TATATATATATATATATATATATATATAGAAGCGGCAATTGTGTTAAAATTGTTATATATATATTTATATTTATGAACTTTTGAGGGGTGTCAGTACATGCATCCACATATACTTTGACGACGATAAATAATCATCATAAATGCACATACATCATTGTCTGTTTCTTCCACCTTCCTCCCTCGCGCTTGCATTTGTTCCCCCTTCTTTTCCCTTTCAACGACTCTTCTCCCTCCGACGAAAACCCACAACAGACCACTGCGCTGTCATCTCCGCAATCTCCAGTGGTCAACGCAACAGAGAGGATCGGAAACGCCGCCACGACCGTCGTCGGATGGCCCCCAAGCTTGAATCCTTCCATTACAACTTCGAGCAGCGGAGCAACGAACGGCTCCTCTCCTCCACCATCCTCTACCACGAACCTTACCCCCGGCAGCGTGGCTGCTTCCACCGCCTCGCCGACGGGGCCGCAGCCACGTGGGCTTGCCTCTGCGGGCTGGCCGTCGAGGGCTGGGAGTTCGGTCGGTCGGACCCCCGTAAGGTCGTGTTCGCCGCCAAGATGGGCCTCGCCCTCACCATCATCTCCCTCCTCATCTTCCTGAGGGTGACCTTCCATGACCTCTCCAAGCACTCCGTCTGGGCCATCCTCACCGTCGTCGTTGTCTTCGAGTTCAGCATAGGTGGGTGCGGTGACCAATGATCGATCATACCTCCATGTCGTCCTCGTTTCTCTCTATAACTTTATTTCATGCATTAAGGTGCAGGAAGAACATTCGAGTCGCTGTTTGAATGCCTATCTGTGCTTTGAAAAATGAATGCCCTTTTTTCATATCTAATTTTAGCTTGTTTCATGGTTTGTCTGGATGTATGGGAGGAGATAGTGGAGGTTTCTTTACATTGATCAACATCTCAATTAGTCCTTTTTATTCTCAGTTTTCATTAGATTTGTTACAAGAATCCTTAGTTTGTAAATGGATTTATATTGGCCATCTCATCATGTTAAACCGAGCCGATCTTACAGTTTTAACATTTTCTAGAGAAAATGTGGAAAATGATTTGCTGTTGCGGTTCTAACAGATACAAAAGTCATAGGTTCAATTTTGTTTCTTTCTGAGAATTCTGATGTGAGCACATGACTTGGCCATCAAAGAATGTTCTCCATGTTTTCTTCAACTTCTTAATCTGGTGCATGCTTAATTCAGTCTCAGTACCCAAGTCTGCATCATGCAGGTGCCACACTAAGCAAAGGGCTTAATCGGGGTTTAGGAACACTACTTTCTGGAGGCCTTGCTCTAGGAGTTGCAGAAATAGCAACCCTGACCGGAGATTGGGAGGAAGTACTTGTAATTATTAGTATCTTTGTTGTTGGTGAGATACTAAACAATTGTGACTTGCTTTCTTCCTCACGTTATTTGAACTAGATGGTACTAATTTTTTGCTTCTTTCATTTTTAATGAATTGCAATGCCAGGATTTTTTGCAAGCTTTATAAAGCTCTACCCGACGATGCAGCCTTATGAATACGGCTTTCGAGTTTTCTTGCTCACATTTTGTTACATTGTGGTGTCCGGATATAGGACAAGGGCATTTATGGAGACTGCAGTCAGTCGGTTTATACTAATTGCGCTTGGTGCAGGCATTGGGTTGGGAGTAAATATTTGCATTTATCCAATCTGGGCAGGAGAGGATTTGCACAACCTAGTAACAAAGAACTTCACTGGTCTAGCCAAGTCTTTGGAAGGTATAAATTGAATCTATCGATATGCAAAATGGTGCTTGAACTTCCCATTAAAGCATTCAAAATTTTGAAATTACACTATGATTAACAATAAATATTCTTCAGTTGGAAGTTACATATCCGTACTCTCATATTGTTACAACCAGAACACTTGTCAGCTGATCTTATTGTCATAATCCTTGTAGGTTGTGTCAATGGATACCTTCAGTGCGTTGAATATGAAAGGGTTCCTTCAAAAATTCTAACATACCAAGCTTATGATGATCCTTTGTACAGTGGGTACAGGTCTGCTGTTCAATCAACAATTCAAGAAGATGCACTTGTATATATCTTTTTGAACTGCAATTCTTTCATGAAATATGCCATTGCTAGAAATGGAAGATGTTAAGTATTTTATTTTCAATGTCTCTTCACAGTTGAGTTTCGCTATCTGGGAGCCACCACATGGTCCTTATAAAATGTGGAATTATCCCTGGAAGAACTATATCAGAGTTAGTGGTGCGCTCAGGCACTGCGCCTTCATGGTTATGGCTTTGCATGGGTGTATACTTTCAGAGATTCAGGTGGGATGCTTTTCTTATGTTATGTTTTCTAGCAGTGGTATTGCTTTACTATATCTTATCTTCTTGAAGATCCTGTTTCAGTTTATTGTGGCAATATTATTTGTTTCTATCAGTTGAATCTGGTAAAAGTGGGATTGCCACCAAGTTTTGCCTTTGTTGGCTCCTACAGTGCAGTCAGTCAGTAAATTTTAACCAAACATGGACTAGGATAGCATTGAGATGATTTTGAAAATCATACTTGTATACTGCCTAAGTCAAAAAGGACTATAAGTATGACAGGAGAAGAGGACAATAGTTTAGGGTATGATTTTTCTTTTTTTCTTTTTTCGTAATGCAAAACTAATTTTCTTCATTAGTTTTAGTTTCAGTATATATCTTAGTAAGCCTATATACTTCTATGCTGAGTCTATTTCATATTTAATAGATCTATTGTGGACAAAGTATAGGTCAGGTAAAGTTTAGCAAATAGAAGCTACGTTTGGAGAAATCGAGATATCTTTTTTGTTTGAACTTGGAGAATTATGAAATTACCATAAAGAGAAAATTTTCTCGAACAGACCTCCTAGCTATATAAACATGGGAGGATGTAACTCAAAGAGCTGATGTTTGAACTTTAGAAATTATGTGATAAAGTGTGATTAGATTAGTAGCTTGATCTTTAGTTGATAGTTTGTGTGGCCCTTTTTTTGTTTTCAATTGGAGGAAGCCTTGATAGGAGTATCAAGAAATAGAACGAAACAAGAGAATATTATGTGTAATACCACAGTTTCTTAGGGTGAAAAAAAATCACATCATTTTCTAAATTCACATTTAAGGTTGGTATAATCACACTATCAGCTAATGCATCACACACAAATCCCTTCTCTGATTTTTTGTCACTGCTAAGTTAACTGCTTCCAATCTTATTATACTGATCTAGCTTTATATATGATTTAAGAGTACTCTCAAAAAGAATTTGGAACTTTGCCAACCCCTATAGAACATCAGAATTAATTCAAATGTATATAGTGCTGACTTTAAAACTCTCATAATTTAATATATAAGTTAAGTTTTGATTTAATTAGTATGCAACATATGCCCAAATAACACTGATTATAATACGTGAAAATGTCAAAAGAAAATAAACCTACATATTTGATTTTATAAAATAGGATTTTGACATTATTGTTGCTCCTGAATTAAATTATTTGTTTAAAACCCAGTAAATAAGAATGTTATTAGTGCTTTTCCTTACAATTATTTTTATTCTTTTATTCATACTTTTATATTGTTGTTTGCCATCCGTTAATAAGACACAATTTAGTTTTCTCGGTTTCCATGTCTATTACCTTTAATTGTTTGTTTTTACAGTTTAGATGGAACTCCTTTAGCTTGAATAGATGGCCTCTTCTTATCGTTCATTAATGAAATATGATACCATTTATAATTAAGGAGTAAAGCAAATCTCTCGATAAAACTTCTCATTGAAGAATTGTTCGTTATGCCATGCAGAAACTTTCATGTTGGATTGCTCGGTTTATATCCTCGATGCTGGTTAATTTCGAAAATGGGCCAACATTGTGATTATATTTTTGTAATCCTTTTGTTGTAGAATCTCTAATTTTGAAATCTCATTGTGCCAATTGAGGCAGGCCAAAGAAGACTATAAGAAACAGCTAAAAGGGATGTCATAATTGTTGATATTCCATCAGATACAGATGATGGAGAAAAGGATCCTTGTAGCTGTTTCCTATAGTTTCACTTCTCTTGATGTTTTTGATATGCAATAAGAAGTACTTGTGATATTTCTCTATTATCAGTCAACTAAAATTATCATGCTTTATAATTAAAGCTTAGTTTACCAATCCTCTTCAAAACCTTCAACTATCTATGCTTTACCACTCCATCTTGTCCTCCACTGTAACGCATCCTGCCGAAGTTCTCTGTGGTATTGTGTGTTAATATAACCTGACAATCATAATGTAAGACTATAATATCTTGATTATCTATATAGTTAATTGGATCTAGGAGTTCTGTTATTGTTCTGATTTTGAAGCGTATTAAGCTTAATCATGCACATAAGGAGATAGTATAATGCTCCTTTTTCATTTTTACTGTTCTTGCCTCTAATGTGATAAAAATCACAGGCTCCACCAGAAAGCAGACAAATTTTTAGCAGTGAGTTGAAGAGAGTTGGCATCGAAGGTGCTAAAGTGTTGCGCGAGCTTGGGGATTTAATGAAGACGATGACAAAACTAAACAAACCAAATTTTCTCTTTGAGGTCCATGAAGCTGCTGAAGTGTTGCAGCAGAAGATAGACCGGAAATCATACCTTCTGGTGAATTCAGAAAGCTGGGAAGGTGCAGAGTTTCCTGATGGAACGAAAGGAAATCTAAACAGAACTAACATCACAGAATATGAGAACAATTGCTACACGACACGATCTTATGTCGAACCACCGTCAACAAGTAGCAATATTCACAGTTCAGTCACCAGCTTCACTGGTTCTCTGCCAAAGATGGACTCGACGCTCCAAAGGCAGATGCAATGGCCTGCTAGGCAGTCATTTAATTCAGAAGTCATGCGTAATGGAGAAGAATCAAGAACTTATGAAAGTGCTAGTGCATTGTCATTGGCAACTTTTTCTTCACTTCTCATTGAATTTGTTGCAAGGCTTCAGAATTTGGTGGAGGCATTTCAAGAGCTGAGTGAAAAAGCCAATTTCGAGGAGCCTGTAGATGAGCCAATATTGGAGACTGCTGGGCTCTGGACCAGAATTAGGAAGTTGTTTTTGAAGAACAAGGAACTAGCTTAGAGGGTGAAGGTTTTTGTCGATTGAAGATTTCCATTGGAGTCTTTCTGAAGGAGAACCATCTAACTTTAGAAAGAACTTTGAAAAAAATTATTATAGGTAAAAAAATCAATAAAAATAATGTATTTTATATTTGAATGAAAAGAATTATATCTTCTTTGCTTTTTTATTTTTTGTTCTTATATTTCTTTTTCTTCCTATTTCATTCTCTCTCTCTACCATCCTACTTTGTTTTACATTAGTTTGCTATTAGAGCTCATCAAAAAACCTGTATCCTATTGGGTTTCAATTAGCAATAAAAGCTTTGATTAATACTCAAGGATCCTTTACATCTCCAATGTCAACCCCTTGAGTGTGGAGTTGGACTTTGGGGGTAACTATCTCTATGAAATTAGTGGATCATATAATTCTTAGTACCCATAAATTTAAAAAAAAATTATTAATTTTTTTGTTGGAAAGAAAAATTGTATCTTTTATTAGATCATGATTTTCATTGCTTCTCTCATTTTCTTTTTTTTATTATATTATAACAATTAACAACATCATTACTAAAAAGTAATTTATCGATGGCATTAGAATCAAATTAATCTTAATTTATTGACTTGATAAGATGAAAACCAAATTAATCCTAATAAATTTCTAAACCAACAACGTGAGGTCCGTTAACAGACCATGAGACAGTTAGTTGATGATTGTCTTAATTCATTGTCTTGAAAAATGATCCAATGAATGAGATAGTTGATGATTGATTAAGCGATATATTCATTCTTCATAATCCATAACTTCAAATTAAGAAATTTTACATACACCCTAAGCTTCGAATAAATCCTACGTTCACGTATAGGACACTTGTTTACAATTATTATCTAATAATTTATGATGATCAAGCCTTTGACTTTAATGATAAATTTTTACAACTTACTAGAAATTCATAAACTTAAGTAATGGGATAACGAGTTTGGTTTGATGATAATTTACGAGAAATGTTGACAATTTACGAGAAATATCTAAAACAGTCAAAGTGGAAGTGCTGGATTTTGATAGTAGGTTTGACCATAATATGTTTGATGATTGATTAGATAACTTGGAAGACTACTTTAAGTAGTATGAAATGATTAATATTGAACATATATGATTTACAAAAATGAAACTGATAAAGTCCGCTAGAAAATATTGATAATATATCCAATATAATATTGATGAGAGCCTCTCATCACTTAATGAAAAGTCATGAAATAAAAACTTTTTACATGTTAAAAAAACTTAATTAGCAAAGAGTTTTGTAGATAATCACAAGGTTTAATAGGATTGTCGAAGGATATCTAAATCTTTGTTGTGCTTAACAGCCGCTGAAGATTTTTCGTTTTTCGTATCATGAAAGTTTCAAGTGTTGATGGCTTCTAAGTTTTGTTTCTTCTAATGATAAGAGAATCATTTACGAAGGTTTAATCTTCGCTGACAAGAAGATTAAATATCAGATCCCTCGAGGAGGTCGGGATCTCAGTGCAAGTCCAATCATTACAAAAGCAGCTTGTATTTTCTCTTCTTTTTTTCTCTTCCCTTTTTCAAATTTCTTGCTTCTTGCTTTTTCTATTTTGCTCCTCTCGTTCTTTAATCTTGTCTTTTTTTCTGTGTACTTTGCAAATTTCTTGCTTCTTGCTTGTTCTGCAGGCATGAGGCTTGTTCAAGTTTGAGAAGATGGAACTCCTATAGGAGGAGTTCCTTGTTCTATCTTCCCCACTCCCTCCATACTAGTTTTATCCCTCGCTTTCTTTTGTTCCAAAATAAAATAAATATTAATTAAAATTATTATTTTTTTACAAAAATAACCTTAAGGTAGGTCATTAGCCTTGTAAGCCACCAAACTACTCTGCTTCAATAGAGAATTTATGGGTGAAGGAAAAGATGAGACATTATTGACTATGATTTGATTCGAATCGAAATCAAACAGGATTGGCATTTCGTCAATTCCAAATTGAATTGGAATCAGTCTTGATGGTTCGATTCTGATTTCAAATTAATAGTGTCAATTTTAAGCTGACTAAATATAATTAAAAAAATATATATCACATATACAACTTATGAGATAGTGATCGAAATGTTTTTAATTTAAGGAAATCTAGTTGGAATTATTTAGTTTGATTAAAATTTTTATAAATTTATTTTTTCTAAATAAGCATTTAGTTGGATTAAAAATTTTATAGTTTTATTTTATTTTATTTATATCAGCTTTGCCCATTATAGTTATCCATCTCTTTTTAAATTTTAAAAATAAAAATAAAATTTTTATATTAATTAAAAAAATAAAAATTAATGGTCCCGAACTTGAATGGTTCTATTTGGATTTCTAATTTTTAGAAATTAAAATTAGTTATTCCGGAATTAATGGTTCTGGAACTGCAATTAGGACTCTAATTCACCCTCTTCTTGTGCTTATTTAGGAAACTTAAGCCCCATAAACCATAACAAAGGCTGTCAACGTTATTCCAATGTTTGTGTATATATATATATATATAGAGTGGCTTCCAGATAGATGGCAAGAAACTAAACGAGCATACAATTAGTTTATCCACTAAGGTGGGGAATCTGACCTTACAGCTAAACAAGGGGGCAAACTACAGCTGCAAGTGACCAATGGAGACAACCAAAATCTAAAGTCTTTACTCAGCGCTTCACGGAAGATTCTGCAGGCCCCATCAACGTATGGTACGTGTCCAAACCCCATCACTCGACATGCACGTGAACACATGAAGCACTCCACCACTAAGCTCGAAGCATCAGCATGCATGCATGCATTTGGCCGTGGGTGGTACTTCAAAGAATTCCTCCGAGTGCTATCTTTTCCTGCCCGCTTCTTTATTCAGTGCTATGGGGAACTGTCCTTGACATGACACCTTAAACTAGCGTTTGCTGAGTCTGATTGGCCAAGCCCACGTGGGCAAGATGCCATCGACCAATATCGCGTCGACAAGATCCCGTGGCTTCATCACTAAACAAAGAACAAGAATCTGGTCACCTCCGAGGCGCATTAAAGAAGTTGATGTGATCGCCATGTCATCAAGGCAAACCTCCGAGGCTCCTCCACGGCATTCCAACCCAAGACAGTGCGTGCAGGCCGTCCTTCGATCCAGCTGCTTCACCAAAAACTGAGTTCTGTGGGGGAGGAAAAGGAATCTGCTAACCAAAACAGGCACAAGAAGTGAGGTTAGGGTTTGTAGCATATAGTATATATATATATATTCAAGTATTGTTTAGATGTGGACAGTGTTAACAAGCACAAGAAGGCTGAATGATTCCCCCTCACTTCCTTCTCTGGCAGCTCTCTTGGCAGCCGCCGGTGTCCTTTTGCCACCGGAAGCTCCAGAGTTTTGATACTTGTGCGGTACATTGCGTCTTCTTTTCTTTTGTGTTCTCTTGGCAGCAAAGCTTCAGAAAAATCGAAAAGAAAGCTCAAGAGAGAGTGACTTTTACTCTGAGAGAGCACATGACGGAGTAAGGATGCATGACAACGTGGATGTAGACATGCCAAGGCTACGATGGGGAAGCGAGAAGGCAATCCAACCGAGGACAACACATGAAAGAGTATAATACTACAGCAATGTGATCGATCCCTCGAACGCTGTGTCCAAGTTCGATAACTTTGGAAAAATATAAAGAGTAGATGCATGCATTAATTGAGGTAGACGTACAATTAGGTGAATTAAGTAGTTGCGAGAACGATCATGTTCACTATATAATACGACGGTACCTAAGATAATTTAGTTAATTATTTATCAAGTATTTTATGTCTTTTCTCATATTACAATAATCAATACCCCTCTATCCCTGGGATAGTAAGTATTATTCTGTCCTTACCTTGTCATCTGCTTCTCTCAACTTATTTGACATGCAAGCACCGTATGAACTATCAATCCATCAGTTCATTTGTTAACATATGACAAAAAGAATCAAAACATTAGTTGATGATAGATAGTTTATGGCTTTGATCATATGCAACCTATTCTTTTTGATTAAAAAAGCTTTTCGGTACGTAAGTAAAGATGATTTGATCAGGATAAGCAAACAAGTTATTGGCTTTGGTTAGTCGATTTCAAAATCTATTTCTACGATTAGGTGAAATAGTCAAACCAAAATTCACATTGTGTAGATGACAATTAGATGATGAGGGGATGTCATATGAATACATTCAGTTTTAAGACATCTGGTGGGTCTTAAGACAAATTCACTACTGTATGAGTCATGAATCTTATAATTAATATAGTAAACTTTATGAGATTTTAAGACTATAATTCATTATACTTCTTTCGTAATGCATAGAATACATAGTAAATGTCTATACAATGCATTTAGTTTTGAGCACTCATATAGAAGCTCATTGATAAGTACTATTCTCAGTGTATAATCACTCCTATTTTTAATGCTTGCATATATGTTGTTCACTGTATGGATTCAATAAATTACCTAAACATGAATGTCTTGAATATTTTGATAACAAGTCTTTTTAAGTAACTGTGCGGAATTTCATGTTTCTTTTAAGTATTGTCTGTGATGTCAAATATTTAACATGGTACCATTTGTAAGCATTGGTACTTTGTAGCGATGAGACCAACACTTGGAAGCGATTAGGAAAATTATATACATGATTTGCCGCCGCCCGCAGTTTTATTAGAAGATGCAACATGTACCATATCTTTGTTGTTGCCCACAGATTTGTTATAAAGTTTATTTTTTTTTTTTTTTTTTTTACGTATACGTCGATCATTAAATTATTGATGATTTTCTTCAAGAACATTAATGATACATATTAAAATTCCATTCATTGCCTTGTCTTGTTGATGATGTCTGAGATTAGCTTAGCTTCTGACCTAACAAGTAAGAAGGAACACTTGTTAACTTTGTTTCAGATGTATGGATGATGAATCAAGGAATATTTTCAGCTCATTTTGATGTCACTATTGTCTCAACACTGGTATTCTATCAATTATTTTTAGTCAAATCTAAACATAGTCAAAATAAGTTGAAATCCAATTGTTACTATGGAAATGTTACACATCCTGGAATCAATGCATTAAATGTGTCTCTATAATCAGGCAGGGACACCTTAGATAATTTCAACATGTAGAATGGTCAATGTCCTCATTTCATTTGGTAGTGTCAAACTGGTTCTGGTGGTGTATCACTTCACATCCTAATTGATTGATGTGCTTGTCATTCAAAATTTTGATGATATGATTTTTTTTTTTCTCATTGCAATACATATTTGGATGAACAAAACTAATTTTCATTTACCTACTTAGCGAAATAGTGTGAAAAAGAGACTGGATCCTACTTTCATGCTATATATATATTTTTTGATATCTAAATTTGGAGTGAATGAGATTAATTACTTGTTACTACAAAAACAAGACAAAGGAGGTTGACTCTATGATTAATACTGAATGACATCATATGGTGGCACCATGCACAAATGTACAACACGATTACTCTGCATATTCTTGGTGAGTCTCATGATGCACTAATTTATAGTGAGTGAAAGAGATGCTCAAAGTTCTAAAAAAGCAGCTGCTTTTTAAGACAAAAGTATGAAATCACCCTTCTGTTCTTAATGCCTTGTGTTGTGCGTGCATACGCCAACGCCCTTTGCAGACTTGCAAAGATTAATCTTGGTTTCTTATCATTTCATGTCAAATCATTTCTGTTCTTACCACACGCTACGATGATTCATCCTTCGAAGCTCATAATTATCATCACATGATCCAGCTAGGAACTGCGCAGATCACAGCAGGATCAAAATTGTATATGCTTCTAATCCTATGTTTCCTTGTTGAAATCAGCAACCTATTGGAATTTGTGTCGCATTCCTTGGATTAAGGGTTTTAACCTACTAATTTTGTTGAAACCGATGAAAATTCCCAGTTGAAGAGAGTGGGTTCTCAAGTAGCACACATGCACCGTATCGAGATATCTCTTCTTCCTCTTCCTCTTCTTCCTTCTCGCGGATGAAAAATATTCTTAAACCAGATAATTAAATTAGTTTCTTTTTCGAAGAATCATCGGTCATACAGCACAAATAATTGAAGGTTTCTGCAGCTTAATTAAAAAAATTGATCTTAAATAACCCTAGAAATAATAAAGGAAAATAAATTTGATTCATAGTTGACCATTTCCTGAGAGAGTGAAATTGTTACATCAAACACTCGTACATCTCTCTGACAAAATGAAATACAATTATTCCATGAGCTTTGAGCATGAACAGTAAGTACTCATCTGAAACATCTTTATTACTCCAACCCATAGATTTGGAAAGAGGGGGACTTATTCATGATGGCATCACTATATGCCATTTCGTTGCCACCAAACTCCAATTTTAAGGTTGAAGCCGCGTCTCATGGAGAAACAACACTCTTTTGACCCTTAGGAAACGTCACATTCATCAATGACAAATGGCCACAGGGTGTATGTACTGAGTCACCACGGACGACACACCAACCAAAAGCCAAACCATAGGAGGCTGACCAGGAAGATGAAACCCGGCACTTGCGTACAACCAGGTGTCAGTGATCTATACGGCAGGCGGTGGGAGTTGTATCAAATTATAAGCAGCGAGGGAAACGTGCTTTGCGCCTCTCTGAACCACCAAAAGCTTCACACCATGGGAATCATCAAGCTGCAGAGATGTAATTAGTGGCTGCCTTTGTTTGACATCACTTCCGTTGTTGCTGTTAATGAGGAGCAATGAGAAAAGGGTCATACTTAGGCATTTGCTGATAGCCTAACATCTTCCTTCCTTTCTATTCTGGTATAAAATAATAGGTGAAAGGGGGAAGACTGATACAAAGAGGAATCATCCTGAACCAAATAAAGGTAAGAGGTGTAGTTGGGTCGTGGCACCAAGAAAAGGAAGCTTACCCTACTTGCAAAAGTTAAGGTTATATCTGCTGTAATCTCTCCTGGCCGCATGTCTTTTCCCTTTCGTGGCAACCTCTTCTGAATTGGTTGTCTGCTAGCTTGTGTGGGCAGATCTGAGAACTTATTGCTTGGGAGACATGGTGAGAGGGAAGATCGTGATCCAGAGGATCGACAACTCCACCAGCCGGCAGGTGACCTTCTCCAAGCGGAGGAATGGTCTGATGAAGAAGGCCAAGGAGCTCGCCATCCTGTGCGACGCCGAAGTCGGCCTCGTCGTCTTCTCCAGCACCGGCCGACTTTATGATTACGCCAGCACCAGGTTTTCCACTCCTTCCTGTTTCCATCTTTTAGTATCTCTTTGAGATGGGGAAGTTAATTAGCCCCAACATTTATTGAGTATCTACGTATTAGATTTCCTTTTTCTTGTGTTTCCTCTGTGAGAGTGATTCTTGAATGATCCTCCCACAAGCTTTGTTATTCCTCTCTCTCTCTCTCTCTCTCTCTCTCTCTCTCTCCTTTCTTCTGTATGCTCTCTTTTTCTCTCTCGAACTGAATGATGCATGCCAGAATTAGTCCATCCGATATACTTGCCTATATTTCTGGAGATATCTGCGCTTGTAATTGGATTTTCTTGACTGCCTCTTTGACAAACCCTGGAAAGGAGCAAGGTGGTGTCCATTGTTCCCCAGCCAGCCAGTAGTCCCAAATTTAGGTTCTACTTTCCTTCCTATTGCATGAATCCTATGGATCGATATGGTGCCTCTCCTTGACAAGAAAGGGAAGCCAAGTAGGGGGCTCCAAAAGTTGAAGGAAGATTTAGTTTTTATGTACAAAGCATTTGCATGCTCTCCAACCAATCAAAACACTTGATTAATAGATTTTTCCTTCTATTCATTGTGAACATTATGCTGGAGAAACATGACCCTGAAATGATCTAACTATATGTAGATATCATCAAACATGCGAGATCATGATGAAGGCATCATGCACAAGCATGCGAGAGCCCACCAGCTGGATTAGACTATAATATTAAGCACTTAATGCAGCACTACTTACTCAGATAATCCATGAAGCGTACGGTACATCAGAAATTATTTTATGTGAATAAGGTCTGATCGAGGGAGCTGATTAAGCTTTGTCGGTACGATATGAGCACCACAGGGATGATTTCAAATGGATACCTAGAGTTTGATTGATCTATAGAAGCCATCCATTGTAGTCTTTGGAACTTGAATTGTTCTTCTAAAAGATATATCTTTTGTTTCACTGAGCCTCAAGTATTATTCTTGGACATAAAAATATAATTTTTTAGGAAAGGTCGCTGCATTACTCATGATTTCCTTTTCATATCTTAGTATCGAGAGTGGAAAGAGAGTTCGAACTTCAAGTCAAACTTGGCTCCACTACATGATTTTGTTGCCCTATGTAACTCAATCGAATTGGATCTAGAAAGATGGATGGATTAGTTTGCTAAGCTTGCCATTTTGGCTTTATGTTGATCGAGAAGCTTCGTTAATGATTTTTTACAAAATGTTCATTTTGTGCTCATCATCTTGACACTTATGAGAGAGAGAGAGAGAGCTATATATATATACTCTATAGAATACCCAAAGCCATTTTTGAGCATTATAGCTTAGATTCTGTTCTCAGCATGAAGTCTGTGATAGAGCGATACAAGAAGGCAAATGAGGAGCATCAACTTGTTCTCAATGCGACTTCAGAAGTCAAGGTATACCAACTTAAGCTCAGTCATGTATATGAGTTCATTTCAAACACATGTTCATTCATTCCATGCTTTTTGATTTGCACCACACCTCTTCTCAAATTTTGCTTCGTTCACTACATGCATGCATTCTTGAACTACCAATTAATATCCTATTTCTAGATGGAAGGTGCATGAAAACAGATTAATTCTGATACAATACATAAATTAACATAACTTGCAACAATTTTCGGTAAGTAGTTTTTCCTCAGTGCTTTGTATTACGGTTCATATGTCTACAATTTTTTAGCAAGATAATTAATGGTGAGCATAGTTATAATTTTCGACGAAGAATTATGTCCCAGTTGATACTATTTGTTGCATGAAGCATGTCTGGTAATATGATTATACTATATATATATATATGTATGTATATTTTCTGGATGATTTCTAATATTCTGAAACTTTCAGAAGCAAAAACATTTTGATTCTATAATTTTAGAAACACAAACAAAAGAGAGCTTGTGACCTTTCTATTATTTAGGTTCCTGGCAACTTCTGAGAAAGAGAACTGTGTTCCAAAAGCAAAATCATGTTCAAATCAAGATCATTCTCGCCCACAAGAGTGGTGATTGTTTTAGAGCTCTAACTAAGTCTTCCCGAAGTGACTCATCATTAGTTACTTGATCTGACATGACTGTCGACGACTTTGCTAACTTAATCTTGTATTGGATACTAAAATAGATCTTACATCGTTTTCCAACTCCCTACTCTAATAAACATCAACTTTCGAGTTAGAAGATTAGGAAGCTTGTATATGATAGTAGCTAAGATTTCTCGTAATAATAGCTGAGATTTTTTCAACTATATAAGAAAATATCATTACTCTGTCGAGAAAAATCTTCCCTCATGTGTATAAATAGATAACACTATATCAAACACATATATTATCTTCGTTTCTTTCCTATTATTAATTTATGAAATTTGTGAAAATGGTTTAATATGGGCATCAAACTTCTTCACATCCATGCTAATTTGAGGCTGACTTGCAATAGCAAACAGTCTAAACCTGTGGAGGAGTGCATATCTAATACCGTTGATATTGTACTATCATATCAATATCACAATCTTATTGTAAATCTTTGCAAGAATAGAGCTAACATGCAAAAGGCATATAAACATTGTTCAAGAGCTAGAATTAAATTTCATGACATTTTTATAGAACCTTTTTTTGTTTTCTTGATCAACTTCAATAATGAAAATGCTAGCGAAGGTTTAACGAGGATTTTATTGCAATCATCCATCGAGAATCTTGGTATTTTGCAGAATTTGATTATGGTAAGCATCTTCTTCGTATCATATCGTGTTCATGATATCCTTCCGTTATCAATTTCTTTGATTCAATTACTTCGAAACAATGCTTTACAAACTTACATTGGAGAAGCAGTAGTCTTTAGAGAAGGTGCTGCGTAACTATTGATTATGTTCTTGACAGGTCTTGACACATCGAATCAGTTGCTTCTTTGAGTTCATCATAGTTAGGGCCTTCTCTTTGTATCTATCTCCTTTCAACATTATTAGCTCCAATCTTCTTTCTCTATAGGAAATTACAAATGAATGATGTGTTGTTCTTTCACATCTAACACAATTTAGAGAAGATATAACTCTTGATCTTGGTTTCCCTCCCCAAGAACATAGGTCTGAGCTTAGACCTTCTCTTTTGCAGCATCATAGTTCTCTCCATTCTTGAAATTAGGCTGCACTATAAAAAACTAACACTTAAAGATAGTGATCAATTTGCAATTGAAGTCTAAAATTTATCAAATAAGAAAAAAAAATTTCATCTCGATCAATCTGGTTTTTTTTTTTTTTTTTAAGGTTAGGTAGAGATGATCTAAGAAACTCATCACTATAAGTTTCAGGTGAGACTCAAATATCATCAGAATCAATCAATTCCACTATGAGAATCTTGAGATTCATGTAGATACGTCCACCAGCTTGATCAGTCACCGAAGCTTCAACTTGATGATGAAGACACACACATAAACTACAAACAAATTGGCAATGTATCTTAATTGCATCATATGCTCTTTAAATTGTTCAAAAGAATAGATTTCATTGGCTTTTCACTTAAGAATGTATGATCATACTTGTACTTAGTCTTCGGACACAAGGCTTGATCCGTTCCCTCCTCATGAAGTTGATCTTGAGTCATGATCATGTCTTCGGTCTCAACATCTTCGACCATGATTTCTTCATCATCAGACGTTTAATAGATGTTTCCATTTAGCTTTTCATATTTGGATTCTATCGAATTCGGTGCAAGATTTCTCTTCGTGTTTAACACTTGATTGACTCTTTTTTGTTGCAAGCTACCTGAACATTCATGAAGAAGCTCTCCATGTTGATCCTGCCATTAATTAATTAGGTTGTTGATGATACTGCTTTCCTCAACCATGCCATTACTAATGAAAGATCTTTGAAATCATAGGCTTTAGATCTAACATCTTAAACCTTTTCTATTGAGACAGCATGAGAGTTTCTTGTGTGTCATTAAATATAATGAATCAAAATCATATTTTAAAAAATAATACATCCTTAACCTCATATCTCGAGAGTCTCGGATGATGACTACACATGCCAAGTGTATCATTCGATCCACTACTTGTCTTTTCGACTCATCATCAATTTATATGTTGGTCTTATCATATTCCATGGTATAACGATTTATTGAGGTTGATGTCATGAGCTCTCAATAGGCACCCAATCTAGGGTTGATACTTACAGCTATTGCATATCTAGGCTAGATTAGAATACCCATTAACTTAATTTGGGATAGTATTGGCAGAAAAAAATACACATTGAGTTGGGTTTGAGATGGTTTGGTATCCAAATAATTAGTTAGTCTTTTATTGGAGTATAGTAAAATTTATGGATTCCTTACCTACATGACAACAAATTGACTTTTTTTTTTATTTTTTTTGATACACTTAAATATGGATTAAGATATTGGTTGTTCGAGGATGGGATGAATACATGTTAAAAAAATAAAGTGGTTAATTAATTAAGTTAGAATAAAAATTATGGATGTCTTATTTATTATTATTTCTAATCAAAATTTTCATGCTAATGTAGTCCTTAGGTCAATGCAAAAATATAATGAAGGGAGAGAAGGGGCAAAAGAAAACATGGGTAAAAAATTAAAATATACAGCTCCTTATCTGAAAAATATGAAATATTTATCTTAAAATACTCATAGGGCTTAAATTTACAATCCTAATTTCGTAAGCATGGTTGTGAAACTTAAGGTACCGATAACGGGATAGTTATATCATTCTTACTCTAACCTTAATCCAGTGACTTAAAATGTTTAAATAAAAATAATAATAATACACCCATCAAGCTCTTATAAACGAACTTATAAACCTATGCTTTCGTTCCACATCAAAATTGTTGGAAGATTTCAACTAGCTTAAGCATATTGAATTAATAGATTAGACTTAATGAAGTTGATGGATTAATTATTTTATAGAGCCATCTTAATTGGGACCATATCTTGACGAGAATGTCATATAATGTTTTCATATAAAATTTCTTTATATGAAATTTTATATGAAAACATGGAAAATTTATAGGTTTTCATATAATGTTTCAAATCGAAAGCTTGTGAGCATATTAAGGGTTATAATGGTAATCAACTTGTAGAACAATCATCTTTTATCGATAAGCAATATTTATAGGTTTCTTAGATGTTGCAAATTGAAAGCCTTGTGAGTAAATTAAGGGATATAAAGGTAGAATCAACTTGTACAACAATTCGTGTTCTGAAATAAACATAGTGGCTTCACTGAAGATCTTCATCGCTAGCTTTTTCTACTGATCCATAGCACCAGGCACATCAATATTTCGATTAATTAACTGGCTAATTTCTCTCTAAAAATTTTCACCCGGAGATATAATGAAATACACGATTATTGGGTCTTTTTCTTTCCTTTTGTAATAACAGAAATAGCTACTGATCTCATTGTTTGAGCGAAAAGTATTTGAATAGCTACTGAAATAGCTACCTTTCTTGGTTGAATAGGCTACACTAGCATTCATCTCTCCGGTGGCCAATAAGCAAATCTCCCGGTCTCTTTAGTCAACAGCTAGCAGTTAAGACCACCAATCATGAAATTGACTTCTCAAGGAGGGGTTAAAAAACACCTATAGATAATAAGGAGAACTAAATGTCAGTAATTAACAATGCTGAATTTTAAAGATACAATCAATTATGAAACACTGTCTAATCTGGAAAGGCAAGAGAAATAGACTTCGGCTGAGGAAGACAATGAGTGCCAATTGGTATCTTCAGCCTGCAATCCAATGTCTGGAGTTCTGCATAAATTTTCTTTTCATATGGGCATAAGGTAAAGCCAGATAATAAATTTGTCAAGAAAACAAAAGTAAAATTTTAGATTAATTACATATAGGTTCCATCACATATTGTACTTATCCATGCCTAATCACAATATATATATATATATATATATATATAAACAACATCATCATTTTATCCAATATTTATTATATTTGAACCAGTATCATTTAATTTTGTTAGTTGTTTGACATATTCGACCAACATATACTCATGATTATTGATACATGAAATGATATTATTATCTTTTAATTTAAACATAAATGTAATTAACAGAGATATACAACTTTTACTTGATTAACTTTCTTTATTTGTTCAGTTAATATTCCTTTCTATTTTAAATTAAAAATAAGAAAATAGTTCGTAAACATACTGGAAAAGGCTAAAGAAATAATAAAAGCCCATCAGATTCTTTAAACATTCATTCTGTTGACATCTGAATAACATAAGGTCTTAAATGTAATAAATTTAAATTAGTGGTGTCAGGTTCTTAAGAGAGGACTGAAAAGTGAATTAATCCAAATTGTGGGTACCATATGTAAGTAACCCTGAAAATTTAGCTCAATAATTGTATCCCAGAAATAGGAGATGGTCCTTTCAAGTCACCCAACAAATACCTTGTTAATCAGAGAGCCATCAGATTCTTCATTTTTAGTAGCTTGATCCTTTCAGCTTTGTTATAAATATTGTTCAAGATCATTTATGGTGAGTCCTTAAGATTTGGAAAACCAATGTTAAAAAGAAAATTTAGCATAACTAATAACTGCTGAGATCACAAACCCACCCCACCCATCATTACAATAATTAATTTAGAAAGTTATGGTCATTTAACTAAGAAGGAAATAAGTTATTTATTGGGTATGGAAAACAACTTATATACACAGTTATTTAACTGTAATCTTGAAGAAATGCCCTGGGTCTGTATTCATGCAATCAAAGTTAGATTAAGCATGATAGTTGAAACACAGAACAATTCGTAAGGTAGCAATGACTTAAAAAAGTATAAAACATGAGTTCAAGTAATAAATTTAGAAGAATTACTCAGAAAGAATACTGTCTAAAATCTAAACTATATATGTCGACAGTTCTAGAACAAGTACTTCAATCCTTTACTGTATGAGTAGTTAAGAGTTATATGCAACATTTACCATCATATTTGAGATTCTAATTCACATCACTGTATATATTTGAAGTTTGCAAACTGTAGTCAAATAGATATAGCAAATCCAATCCACTTCTGACATGGATTGACTTTTGTGCTTTGTACTTACAAGTTTTGGCAAATGGAGGTAGCAAGCTTGAGGCAACAACTGCATAACTTGCAAGAAAATCATAGGTATGCTCATTTTGCCCTTCACACATCCAAATGAAAGCATTGTTAGCCAAAAATTCAATTACTTTAAACAAGAAGAAAAACTTCTCTAGCAACATGAATGGTAATTCTGATCACATTTATTGGTCTCCTTTAGATCTGTAAAGATGAGGATATCATGACCAAAGAAGTCTAATATCATCAGTATTTTCTTATGAAGTACATGATTCATGTATGTCCAGCTTTATAGGGTCAACACAAGTGCACTAGCCCACCACATCCACTAATAGATCAATAAACCAACAAATAAACAGGAAACATAACAACAATCTTTTCAAATCATTTAAGCTTCAACACAAGATGGCAATAACATGTGTTTACCATTTCTCTGTCTCCCTAAGAAACTTTCAAATTCACCAACTAAAGAAAAGCTTGGAAAACAGGATTTTAGCAACATCAATGGCTTGAATAAAAAACTAGAATTTTAAATTCTACATAAATTTCCCCTCTAAAGATCATCAGATTATTGTCAGATGCTAATTGGGCAACAGCAAAAAATAAAAATCAGACAAAAGGAAAGTTTAAGCTGAAGCAGCTGGTACCAAAACATTTACAACCAACATTTACCAAAGGAAAGAAATCAACATACAATACTGAAATTCACACAATACAATACAGTAGAATGAGGTTCCACTTCACTAATGCATCCAAGTCCTAGGAATAATCATACACGTTTTAAACAGTACAAAAATCATCAAATAGCATGAACAACTTTGATTCTTTAACAGTTAAAGAAGGCAGCTTAGATCAAACCACTATCTCCAGATAGCAACTTTTCCAACTCACGACAAGAAATAAGTGATGCTCTAGCACCAAATATAGGGCAATAAGAAATAGTTGCATGCACAAGGATGTATGCAAAAGAGAATATATGAGAGAAAATCATAAAAGCTATAGGGAGACATGCATTTAAGACTCTAGGAGAGCTGAAGAATGGAAAGTAATAGGCCAAAGAATATACATAGCCGTAATTCACTTTTTACAGCATGAGTTGTGCAAAAATACGAACTATAGTCAAAAACTGTTTAGAACTACACACAAAAAAGCAACTTTCCAGTATGCATTCCTGCAATCTTTATCACAAGTTAATAAACTTTTATCTTTGTTATCATAAATTGTATTGAGATAGCAAGTTATTAGACATGGATACTTTGTCATGTAACGATATTTTTCTGCTTGCCTGTTTTCCACAGTTGCCTTTAGACTAGTTGCAACATAGTTCTGATGGTTTTGCATTAGATCTATTTGCCAATCCTCTATTGTTTCTGGTCAAATTTTCAGTCATAATTTTCAAATGCATTTCATTACCTGGAGACCAAATAACTTTTTTGTTGTCAAGCTCCTAACTGATATAATGTTCCTTTTGTTCACAAAATAGGTGACTTACATACTAAAGCCATCAGATAGTTAGCTGCAGTGTGTTTTTTCACCTTTTGATGGCACATCCACCTCATAGTAGCTTCTTGAACTATTACTGTATGTTTTCCACTATGAAATTTTTCTAGTTAACAGTTTTTATATGCTAGAATGAACTTGTTAAAAGTAATTAAGAGGTTGATCTCTATGACTTATGCAAGTTCCTACTGAATTAATATGTTGATTGTAGTACTACATGTTACACAAAAAAAGGGAACAATTATGTCACATAGCTTTTGCTTTGTGTTTTTCATAAACATGTCAACTAAAAGCTAAGGAATTTCATTTGGTAACATTCAAACTTATTCCTAACAGACCATTGTCCTAAACACTAGAAGAAAGGATCAATAAGGTCATTGGATGTACCCAAGCAAAGTGGTTACTTTTGTTTCTCTAGAATTATTGACAGAACGAAAAGGAACCATTTCCATGCCATTACTTTTTAGAAAAAAAACTGAAAACAAAAACCCATGTTCCACTTTTCCTTCTGTAACTCTTCACACCTGCTAATAGCTGCATATGCTACTTATTGCTTTCCTGTACTAATAGCAACATTGAAGGTGCCCTTGTTGCTTAGAGAATTGACAAATGTCAAAATAAGGAGAAGAATTGTCCATGTAATACTCAGAAATCTGGAGAAATAGGAGCACTCTAGAAGAATTCTCCTTTTATTAAACACTGCTCTCATGTAGTACTCAGAAATCTGCTCTCGTGTAGAACTCAAAAATCTACTCAGAAAACTGATGAGCAGTGTTTACTAAAAGGAGGTTTTACACTAATGAGAATAGATCAACACTATAAGTAAATAAAGTTATCAAGTCGCATGCTAAGAAACGACAACTACCAGAAGTTCTTTGAGGATATAAATGATTTTTCAAACTTGGTAAAGACATCTGGTCAAAGTAAAAAATCATCCCTCTTAGTTCTAGTTGTTGATGATCTTAATGTCAATATCCAACTTAAAATTAGACTTAGCTATCTGATTATCAGGAAATAACAATTGGATATATGGAATTACCCATATAAAGAAACATTCCTCTTGACACTAAATATAAGCTTTAATTACTGGTTGATCTGTATCGGTCCACCCAATTTTGGTTTGTCCAACCAAGCACCAGTAACAGGCCATACTATCTAGTAACATTCAGTACACCAGTCTTTTTTTTTTTCAGTGATTTTAAGCATCATAGATCAAATACATAACGATATATTAGTGCCACATTGGTTTGACAAACTTTCAATACACACCTTAGTGTAGACATCAAAGTCGTATTTTTAGGTATGTGATCTTCAAATCAAGGATTTTAATTTCGAATGATATCGCCCGTATCGGGTGGTACGTACCGGTCCACCAGCAGACCGGCACGCGGACCCCCCGCTACCGGGCAATACCGTCGATTGGAGCTATTCCCACCCCGTTATCACTCGAAATCGGTCGGTGACGGTCGATTTTGACCGTCATCGCCCGTTACCGGGAGATATTAACTGACGGAGAAGGAAGAAGAGGGAGAAAAAAAAGGGAGAACCTGGAGATCCGATGCTGCTCTCCCTCGATGATCCCGATCTGTCACCGCCCTCCCTCATCGGACGTCGAAGATGAGATGTCGCCTCCTCGTTTGAGGCGACGAGGCCTCGGCGTCATCGGCGACTTCTCTTTAGCCACGCAGGGAGAGGAAGAGGCTTCACAGGGAGAAGAAAACGAGGTTTCTTCTCCCCACGCGGGCCGAAGAAACGAGGCGATGTCGGCTCAACGATTTTGACCTTTTTTTAATTTTATTATTATTATTATTATTATATATATATATATATATATATATATATATAT